AACATCGGCACCTCTATTGTTTCCCCGACTCAGACTGCAAGGAATCTGGGTGTGACCCTAGATAACAAACTGTCCTTCACTGCAAACATCGCTGCTACAACCCGCTGCTGCAGATAAACTCTTTACAACATCAGGAGGATACGTCCCCAGCTGACCCAGAAAGCGACGCAGGTTCTGGTCCAGGCTCTCGTCATCTCACGCCTAGACTACTGCAACTCCCTCCTGGCTGGTCTACCTGCATGTGCCATCCGACCTCTGCAGCTCATCCAGAATGCAGCGGCTCGTCTGGTCTTCAACCTTCCAAAGTTCTCCCACACCACGCCGCTCCTCCGCTCCCTTCACTGGCTTCCAGTAACTGCTAGAATCCACTTCAAGACACTGGTACTTGCGTACCATGCTGCGAATGGATCTGGCCCTTCCTACATCCAGGACATGGTTAAACTGTACACCTCAGCACGTGCACTCCGCTCTGCATCAGCCAAACGGCTCGCTGCACCCGCACTGCGAGGGGGGCCCAAGTTCCCATCAGCAAAAACACGTGGGTTTGCTATCCTGGCTCCAAAATGGTGGAATGAGCTCCCCATTGAAATCAGGACAGCAGAAAGCTTGCACATCTTCTGGCGCAGACTGAAAACTCATCTCTTTCGACTCCACTTCGAGCGATAGAATTTATTAACAAAGCACTTCTATACTAATAAAGGACTGGCTTATCTAAAGCCAGTTGAGTAGCACTTGAAATGTTTTAGCTCTATGCAACCTGATGTACTTATATGATTCTGTTTTATTCAAGTTTGTATCTTGTTGGTCGAACGCACTTATTGTAAATCGCTTTGGATAAAAGCGTCAGCTAAATGCAATGTAATGTAATATCAGCATTTGACCTGCATATTTACAAACATAGCCTACATCTTATATACATTAAAGTATTTTGAAAAAAAAGGTGGTTTATTCAGTACAGCTGGTGAAACGTTACCTCTGCCAGGCCAGTTTTGAGCATAGTTGATGAGGTTGATACCTCCCGCAAGCAGTGGATGCACCGTGGAAAGTGAGGCACCTGCTTCAGGAAAATTGCTCTCGATGACATGCAGAGAACTGCAGAGGAAAAACATTTCATTCTCAAGACCTGCAGAAAACACTTGGAAGAGCTATTGATTAGACACACACACCTTCTGCTCCTTTAAATCCTTATGTCTCAGATGTTGTGGTTCGCAAACAAGGATGGTCCACGTTTCAAAAGCCATTACCAATTATTTTTTTCTAAAATGAATCACTAGGGCTCAATTGAATTGTAACTCAGTTCAGTAATTCTTTAACTGAAAGCTGCTTTGGCCTTCATGAAATATTCAGTACACCATTGAACTATTACCCTCTTTTTTTCTAAACTGACTAAATAAATAAACACCTTTTTATACAGCTGCCCTTGATTAATTCTGAATGAATCCGTCATTGAAAGTACATTACCCCTGAAAGTTGCTGAGTAGGACCTCAGCGCTGTCCAGCCCTTGGTCGATGGAACCAGAATTGAGGAGCTGGGGAATGGCAAGAAGGGTTTCCCACAGTGGGGTCTGACTTTGCAGCTTATCGAACACCAACACCGCCACGCCAGCCAACGTCATCATCTCATCAGGCTCTTTCATCATCAGCTGCGTCAGTATCTGAAAACAGAGGTTAATGAAACAAACTTCACTGCTGCAGTGTCCCTAAATACTTATTTTTTGTATGTACAAATATATAAAAGAGTTGAGACTTGCAAGTTACAAATTGTGAATGCAAGCGAACACACACCTGGTTGATTGTGTTGAGCGAGACTTCAAAAAGAGTGTTGTTGGAAGTGCAGAAAGTGACCACAGCATAGGAGATACTGTCCGATGACGAGGTGTTTATCATGGGCAGCGTCAGGGAACAGATGGCTCTCTTCAACAGGTTCACTGACTCCAGCATTTGGTTCAAGCTCTCCTGGATTCAGATTATTACTATTAGTAAATTCATACAAATGTCGATTGTACCTTCACAACACATTGTTTACAGTTCCACAATCTACTGTATCGCTTAACTATTGAAACAATCATATTGAGCAAGTTATCAGTTTAAAATACAGTTTGTTTGTTTCTTGTGTAACTTATCTCTGTCAAGGGTAAATACAAAAAGGAAGTGGAATTTTAAATAAATGGTTTTAGGTATTCCTATGAGCCTTTTTATGGTCAATAATGGCTTAACTGCCACTAACACTGGTTTATAAAGAAGAGACTGAACAAGGTTTCAGTTAAGTGGCACTTGACTGAACGAACAGGCTTTTCATTCTGTACTCTCAGCAGTGTTGTTCCCCATATAATAATTTTTACCTGATCAGCAGGAAGTGTGTTATTCATGGTGTTCATGAAAGAGGCATTATTAGAGCTTCCTTGGTGAGATGAACCTTTAAAACAAGAATAGACATTGAAAATCGGTGTAAATATAGCAGTTACAGTCAGTCCTAATATCATAGTAAACACATTAGCCAACAGTAGAATGGGCTAGAGTAAACAAAGTTGAATGTTTTAGAACAATAGTCAGATAAGTCCACAATGTGGTTCTAAAAACCAACGGTTCAGTATTTTGGAAAAACAGGGTTATTTGCTGTCCTGCAGATTATAACCTCTTTTATATATGTATTTATTTTAAATATAAAGCTAATTGGAAACAGTTAGCTTAGCTTGGCATAAACACTAATAGTAGAGGGAAACTGCTAGCTTGAATGAATTCTCTAAATATATAATAGGTATAATAAATAAATCTCATCTGCCTACCAGCATATCAAAAATTCACTAATGAACACATTATGTTGTTTGTATAATCTGTTCAATCCAAAGTGGCTAACCAAAGGCTAGCTATTTCCCTTTTTCCACTCTCATAGCTCAGCTATTCTTCTCTTGGCTCCAGCTTCAAGTTTGTTTTACAATGTTTATTCTACAACAAATGTCTCTTTTCTTCCCGATGTACAGAGCATGGCTAGTCTTTCTATAACATGTGTTTAAATTGTTATCTGTGCAATAACATGTGCCTGAATGGGGCTCCTCAACACAAAATGAAAAAGAAAAAAATGCATAACTTGACCCAGAATTTGATTTGTTAAAATGAGCAGAACAATGTTTTTTAGCATGGTACATGGAAATGAGGATAACATACCAAAGAAGTTGTTTAACACCTCAAACAGTGCTGCAGGATCACTGTCAACGCTCTTGGGAAGAAGGAAGTTGAATAATTCATCCCCGTTAATCAGTTTTGACAGCGGAGAACTCTTCTGTTTCCTCGACCTATCATACAGAGTCAAAAGGATCACATGAGGCAATGAAAAGATAACCAACCAAATGTATGTCATTTGAAACCAAAATCTGTAGTGGGTGTGAGTGTAAATAGTCTTGTAGTGGCCAAAATCATATAGAACTAAAACAGATAATTAACTTAAAATAACACAGCCGCTGAGGCACTAGTTAGGGGATCTTACGCAGGGCAATGATCATCCAAATCCAGACAAGAACCTCCATTTGTGCATTTTATTCCATTAACAAAGTACAATGAACAGGTTTCCTATATATCTCTTCCTTAAGCCTTTCCTTTGTGTTGGCTTGAAACACCCTGGTAAAAAAACGTTTGCCTCCTAGTGCTCTGGCTCCCACCACCCACCTGTCTCCAATATATACAATTACACCAGGTGCTCTAATCACCCAGTGCCCAAAAACATGCCTTCAAAATAAAAGCATAGAAACTACTTTAACTTATGACACTAACTAAGAATACATATAAATAAATAATAATAATAATAATAATAGACACTATAAACAGCAAGAAAATAAATGTTAAACTATTAAATAATATAAAGAGATATATATAGCTCCAACTAGTCTGGTATGTGTATAAACCATCAATCAGCATTAGGTCGAAGGTTAAAAAAAACTGGTTTCTACCAGCAAGCGTCATTCCTGTGTCTGGAATGTATATTTCAGCGACAGTACACGAGAGCTCAACAAAGGCAGAAAAAACAACTCTAAGGAACTGATTAACTAGTTAACACTTGAACTACAACAAAATAGACAGGCTTACATAAAGAAACACGCTCCCTGTTTTCTAAAGATTATGCAACCCCATGTGTTGACGGAGTTGTTTTAAACTAAATAAAAAAGCAATCACTCATCTAGAATACTATCAAAGCATGTTTTTCTTTCAGCATTTTTACTTTTTACTTCTCCTTATCTATTGTTGGTACATTTCCATGATCATACTAACTAGTCATCTCGTGTGATGCAGCTATGCGGAGGTGAGTCACTCCTTTGTGTCTCTCTTGCCCTCTGTACATCTTTTTTTTTTATAAATGGTATGACACCTGGTATGGAGCCACTAGAAACATTACGTACATGTAATGTCTGATGTAATGATGGAGGGAAATTATGAGGCGGTATAGATGCAGTGATGCTGACTGAAATCACAACTTCAATAAACATTTGGTGTTCCTGCAGTATGGGTCAGAAATAGTTCATCCAGTATATGGTCTATCTATTCTACTGGGGATACCTTGAAGTTGACTTTGATGCAGCTGGGTCCACCAGGCGGGATTTGTTGTGACAGTTGCTGTCGGTGTTGCACATGAGTGTCTGCAGGAAAGGGAAGAAGCCTGTGCTGGGAAGGTTTCTGGGTCCCACATAACCTGGAGGAGACGTGACAAAGTGTAAGTTGTAGCGAGAATGCTTGAAAACATCAGAAAATGGTTTGAAAATCCCTGTAAGATATGTCCTTAAATGTGTACATTTGGCAAACAAAACTCTGTTATTGGAACTACCCGAAGTAGGTTACAGGTAGATTACTAGCTTAAATACTCCATTCAATTTATGCCATATTATTTACTATATGAAGGGGTAGATAAATGTAATCAACCTTATCAAAATGTTTGATGTGGTGTTAATAGGCAGGTCCAAAGGAAAGCTGTGCATCGTGAACACACTGAGCGCTTTGTTTGAACGCTTCATCAAAAAAAAGAAAGAATTACATTTGCCCAATTGGTTGTTCATTTATATTTGACGTATTGTTATCTTGTAGGGATATTTCTCCCCACAAGATCTTGAGCTTGAACTATTTTCCATTTTTCTGAATCACTGCCAATGAATTAACACACCATTTATTTTCAGGAAACAATCTTAGCCATTACTTACATTTAGAA